TATTTACTTACCAGAAGCATAATTATCAAGTCAATGGAAACCGACTCAAAGAGTGCAATTGGCTTTTTAAAAACTGTTTTTACTTTGGTCCAGTTCAAAACGATACCAAAATTTATGTATAAGATTACATTTAAAATGGGATTAGAATAAGAGAAAAACAAAGAACTAATGGTATTCAAAAGGGAAATAGAAGCATAGAAGCTGATGTTTTCTTTGGAAAAACGTGAGTTTCCATTCTTTCAGATGACATTTCTGAATCATTTCCTCGTACAATGTTGACACTTATGTTAGCATTGCCAATATCGATCGGAATGGCTATAAAAGTACCTCTAAGTCTAGCTGCCTCCAAATCATAATCGAAACTCAATTTAGAAACCTGTAAAATTCTCGGTTTGCTACTGATTAATTGAATTTCATTGTGATGATTGGATAAAACCAAATTCCATACGATCACATTAAACATTTTTGATTGATTCATAATTAAATCACTTTTATTGTGTTCAAATTGTACATGGAAATTCATTTTTGTAGCTTTTACACATCCACTTGACAATAGAAAAATAACTCCAGAAACGGAGATGAAAAATCTTAATGTATTTTTATTAACCATTTTCTTCGACACTTTTTTTGACGATTTTTAATGAATACCAAGTCCAAACTGACAAAATGCGTCGTTTTGAGGAATAAACAATGGAAAGAGATATATATTCAGTCAGGTCTTAAAATATATATTCAAGATAAAAAAAACTTCATTAACCACTTAATGCATTATTATCGTACATTGTACGGTCAATTTATTTTAGTATTTTTTCAAGTATGTTGATTGAATTTATCACTATCAGTATTATCTTTCTATACAAAAAAAACCCTGTAAATAGTGATTGTAAAATCGTCAACGGTGACAAGTTATCTCAATTTTCAGTCTCTTCCAATGAATGCAGTTGCTGTAGATCATCGAAATTTTTATTCTTTTTCGGCTCATTTCGTTCAAAATTTAGAGGTGTTCTGTTGTTCAATACCCTGAAAATGAAATTTAAATTGAATAATTTGGACTTCGACGGGATTTTAATGGTGGTGAATAAGCTGACCGTGCTCTCATTATATCAATGAGTTGATGTGTAATCACTGGTATTGGAATCATAATGATAACCAAGCTAGACAAGAATACATAAGTGTCGGTTTGTGGAAAATATACTGTTATATACATTATTGAGGTAACAATTGTCATATTTTTGGTAAGTGCTGCGGTTGCCAGCTGCAAACGATCTGTATATTCATCTCTTAATAAAAATGCTATCAGCCAGCCAAATGAGTATGCCAAAAGTGGAAGAAGAAATGCTGATAAAAAGTACTGGAAATAGATATTCGATTATTTCAGGATAGTTTATTATTCATCAATTTCAAAAAAAATTCCAATGAAAAGTGTGTTTTTCCATCTTACCCTTCCCGTGAACGGTAGCAGATCTGGATTAAACATGGACCAATAACACAGAATCAAGTAAACGATGTAAACGACTACGTAAATATTTATAAGCCAAATAATGCTTTTGGTAGCAAATTTCACCGATGGCTTATAACAATACTGAATTATTACTCCAATTGAGAGCGGAATGAGCAGGTAGACGATATTCCACAAAAACGAAATGTATGATGCATTCAAGTATGTACTACCGAATACTATTCTACCGAAAGTAAATATCCACAACGGAATCACTACACCTTTGATTTATTAATGAATAAAATTTGATTCCATATTTGATACTACATGTTTAATTCATAAGTCTTACCAGCAGCAAATAAAATATTTAAAATGCTTTGGGTAAACGATAAATCGATATTTCCTCCAAAAACTACCGTCCAAAAGATCATTCCGCCGCCCAATAAACTCAAACCGCACACAAATAAGCCGAATCGCATATCGCTGCCGGGCGGAAATAAGATCATTCCAAGCAGATAACTTGCCTTTTGAATATTTAATTCAACTTTAATTGAAAATGCATGAAATGGATTTAAACAATTGTGCTCCTCACCATTGGCGTAAAAATGAAATTACAAATAAATGCAACACATGGTTTCAATGGTTTTCGAACGGTGTCTTTGACTTTGCTTAGTTCCAAAAGTATTCCGAAGTTTACGTACATAATAAAGTAAAAAATCAAAACACATTTATCGAAATATTGCATAAACATTTCTCCAAGCATGCTTTTACACGAAATATTAATACGTATTCGTTGTGATGATTCTTCTATTTTTAAACCAATATTCTCTCTTCGTGAAATCATCACAAAAACATTTGCACTACCGATAAAAATAGCATCAGCGCTAAAGACTCCACTCCATTCATCCAAATCGATTTCATTTAATGGAACTGTTCGAGACACTTTCAAAATATTTGAATCGCTAATAATCATAATTGAGGCTTTTGATTCCATTAATTCTGTTCTATTCAAATGGGTCAAGGTCACACTGATATTTTTTGATTCGCCCATATACATAGAATATGTCATATTCTCAGAATTCACTTTCCATATCGATTCATTTTTTTCATTTTTGGTATACGTTGAACAATTTGAAGTTAATAATAAGATTGGCAGAAAATAAAGAATTGATACACTTTTGAAATTCATGTTTGAACCATTTGTTTTAGATATAAATAAAAAAAACGAAAAAGTCAAACTAAGAACACGCCCTGTAGAAATCAACAGTCTTATCTACAACATATTAAATACGAGACTAAAGCTGTTTGCGACCGTAAACAACAATTCGGCTGAAAATATGATTTTTGGCAATAACAATGTCAAACTTGAACATGTGTGCATGATTAAATATATCACATTCACATTCGTAGTATACACATTTAACAGAATGTACACATCAAGAAGACAAGTGGACCAATTTTCAAACTTCAATTGATTTTTTAATGGCTCAAGGGCTTTTAAACCATACATCAATGGCGGCAAAAGGCCTTTTAGATTAGAATTTTGGAAATTTGAAAAGTCCACTTTTCACTAAGATGGTTTCGTCACTCAACCGAA